TATTGTTGTTTTATATACCTAATTCATTCTTACTTGCCATATTCTACAAGTAAATAATTATTGTTATAATTGTTTACTTTTAATATATCATCCTTAAAAGTTAGCTGCATCTTATTCTAATTTACTTCGACTAATTAGCTCATATTCTCATATTTTATCCATTGTAGATTCAAAATGAGGTATGTAAAAATACCCTGTCTTTTGTCTTTCACTTGTCACTGCCCTGTGGCTTTTCGTTAGTATCAGAACTCGTCACTTGGGCTGGACAGTCAGAGACAAAATATTCTAAGGACTGCCATTTAGAGATGCAATATAAAAATTTGAAAATTACCCTATTACCTAATGAAGGTGTCTAAAAGAGTAAAATACATAATCAGTACTCCTCTTCCATTGTTTTGAAACACTGCCAACTAGACAGCAAATATATATCCGGGTGTAAGTAGCCAACTTGTACGTTGTAACTAATAAAGTGAGATGTAAAGTTTGTCTATTAGCCTAATCAAAATATAGTTTCTTATATATATGTCAAAACAATATAGTATACCTTTTCGGCCATAAATATGCATATGCATCTTATTCCAACCATCCTAATCATTAGGTTTTTACAGAAAATTCCATTCTGTCCTCAGTAATTATTAAATTACTTTTGATATTATTGTAATTCTGACCTATATAGTTCAATGTTTTTTTTTATCAAGAATTCCAAATAATTAATTTGATGCCTATGCAATGATTCTTGTATTTAAATATAAAAATATTTACAAGTTATGATTTACAACGTATGTACATAACATTTTATAAACTTACATACTTTTAAAATTATCATTTAAAACCTGATTTTAAGTGTTTTAGATTCAAATTTGAATGAAAAATTGTAGAGCAAGGACTATTAAAGATAAAACGATGTTCTTTGAAATGCCAAAAATGATAAAATCCGTAACCCATTTGTAAATATTGGTGTCCAGCCGTAGCCCAGTAAATCGCCCTAGTGCAAAAACATTTGGCTTACTAAATAAGTAAATAAAATGTTATCTATTTTAAAAGTCTGTTCCAAATCTCTTCCATCCAGTTTTTGGTTGTTTCTCATGAGCTGAAAAAGATTGTCTTAGAGTATGCCTCTTTTATGACATCATTATTGTTGCAAGTCAGCTTGTCTCAATACATTTCAAAAGCCCTTTCATTTAAAACATTTAAAAGTAATCAGAAATTTATTTAAAAATTGGGGATGCCACTGGATGATTGAATTTAATTTCGGATCAGCTTTATAATGGAATTTTTTTAAGCAATTAAATCATTGCAAAAATGGGAATAAGAATAAAGAACATCGTTGAAAGAAATTATCTGAAACAAAAGGACACCAGAGGAATAATATATGAAATAAAATGTGAAACATGTGAACAATGTTATTTAGGTAAAACTGGGAGAGAACTGAACATAAGAGTCAAATAATACTTGGAAGGAATTTATATATTTTTTGAACATTTAAAAGAAATCAAACAATCTATATTTGAAAAACATTAAAATTCTACAAAGTGAAATTGATATAAAACAGAAAGAAAATCGCAGACACAAAACTAATAAGATAATTAAAATAAGATAATTTGAACATATATCCCGGATCTCCTCTCTATCTTTATCTATATAAATATAAATCACAAAAAGCTACTAAGGCTACTTGCCCCTCTCTTTAACTTTTAACTAGTGACTAATTGGAAGGCAGCCAGTCAGCAATATCATATTACCCACCAGTAATTGTTTGGCTGTCGCTCTTATAATACATCCAAATCTTAAAATGCTGGGAATATTTTATAATATCGCCAGTTCCGAAATCCAGAGCTCTGTCACTGGACCAATTTACGTCGTTCTTAGTAACATACAAGTCACAAAAATATAAATAAAATGAAATAAAAATACCAGCGATATTGTACTTAATCAAAATCACTCATTTTATGTGTATTTTCCACATAAAATGAGTGATTTAACCAAATTTATTAGACCAATTCTTCACACTGAATATTTCAACTTCAAAAACATAAAGAAATTCTCAAGTTGATGTAAAATATGGACTCCACAAGTTTGGTAAACGATATAAACCAAAGCACTTATTTGAAGGTTAAAAGGACCGCAAAACGATCCTTATGTTATAACTTATTTTATACTAGCTGGAGTACTCGTCCCCTGAACGGAAGTTATGTAAATTCATGATTAATTAAAGGTTATCTTAGGACATGAAAAGTTGATTCTTTTATATGTAATTGTAAAAAACGCCAATAAAAACTGCAAAACACAAAATATGAAACCGCAAATTTGCACGTATCTCCTCATGGACCCAACAAACCTTTATACCAAAGACATACATTGTCAAGATCATTAATGTAGAGACTAAGTGAGATTAACGTTCCAGATCGAAATTTAGGTGATAAGCTTATTCTTACAATAACGTTTTAAAGTTTAAGTCATAATAGTAAAATTTAGTCAATGTAAGGTCTAGGTATATGATTAGTTTTAGTGTAATTTAGTATAATCCTTGAATTTATATGGTAATTAGTGGTGTTTTCATAATGGGGTGATTGTATACAATTCCCATGAAACGTGTTTTGATTTCATTTCCAGAAAAATTATAAAGATTGATATGAATGGAAATATGCCTGAAAAGATTGTTGTATCAAAGTTACACAACTGGTTTTTGGTGGTCCTAATTCTCATATCGACTGTTTCTTGTTCATGGTTGGAATTAACAGTGGAAAAGTCTAACGACGATTTTCAGCCTTCAGTAGAACGTAAGTAGAGATAAAATATTATAGAAAAAAAAAAAGAGATAAAACTAAATACATTGCACATAAATTATTTGTGAATATTTTTCCAACTGTGTATCATATGTCTATAAAATTGATAGTTTATGCATCTAATTATCCAAACAATTTTTATGATATTAAAGTTTTTCAACGAAATCAAGAAGTGAATAAAATGATTTTATTCCATTCTTGTTAAAACTGCTAGCTCAAAAAAATACAAATTTAGTTTTTCATCACAAACACTGTGAATTTAACGCTGGTAAAATCGTAACATGAGAATTTCAATTCCACAAATATGTACTTGAATTATACTTTTTGAAATATGCAAACGCATGTAAAACGAGTTTCTTAAGTGATGAAGGGCTTTTTTACTAGTTTTGAAACATTTTAAAGACGCGAAACATGTTCGTGGCACTAGGTCCAAATTTTTTTGAAGTTGGTCTTAGAAAGAAACATTACTTGCTACCTGCAATTTTATCATTATGCGTAATGGTGCCATTCAGTTTTCTAATTTTACTCAGAAGAAATCTAGGCTTTAAAAGGACAGTGAAGAAGAATCTGAGTCATTTATTCAAATGTTTCAGGTGGGTTGTTTCCTGGAATGTATGAACACATGGTAAAATATCTGATGGTGAGTCTAGACAACCCAGTGGAAACTCATTGACCGGGACATGATTTCACGGACTTGCACTACAGATTTGATACTCTAGCAAACTAACCAATCCATAGGACTGGGTTAAAACTTGAAGATGGGGGTCTCATGAGAATTTATCCACTAACACAACTTATCTAAGGAGAATGCATGGGTGGGAATTCCCGAACATGTTTCCTATTAGAGATATTCATTGATATCTTAACCAAGGGCTGCCAGTCAAACTCATCTGGCACCACCATATGGGTCTCAGAGGCACAACACATTGACTGAAGTGGTTTCTGAGGTAATGTACTTTGAAGTGGTCACAATGAACTGTATGCTGGAGCAAAAGGAGTAAGCAGCAATGGCAGTTATGCAATATTCTATCCTAAAACAATCTCCAGGATCCGGATCCAAGACTAGACCAATCATTGACCTAGAGCTCATTTGGATCTACTGCAGTCAATGCTGCAAATTGTCATAGTACATCCAACATGGCTTCATAAGGAAAACGGGGCTTTTCATGACCAATTGCTATGGTTGCTCTACCTGTACAGCAATAATTATCCTCTCAACGATACCAATAGCATGAGAAAACGAGCTTCCACTTCAACTGTGGCTTATCATATCAATGAATCTGGAAATGCATATTTACTGCAAGACAAAATTATAGGATATAAATACCAGGTCAATGCAGGAAGATCAATGGCATGCTATGGTTGAAACTACTCTGGCTAGTTTAAATTAAGATAACATAATTTCGATCTGGCTACTAGTTCAGAAGTGCAGCAGTCAGCTTTAACCCATCGTTATGGTGGCTGGCTTAGATAAGCATAGATTTGCGGTCATATATATGTCTCTGTAATAATAAATGAACATGAAGTTGAGTTTGTTGAAATAGTGGACTATCCAGAATCTTTCTTGACATAGCTGTGTATCATTAACTTTAAATGAAACAATTACTCTGTTCATATGACACTAGCTATGATAATTAGTGATGCAGATATTTTTCTTACTATCAGTGTGAATAGAATTAATTCATTGTCCAGCAGTTAGGATAGTCATTGAATTGAAAAATCAAAGACTGAACAGACTTAGTATTCCTTATTTTCTGAGGTGTCAAGTGGAGTTTCACGTTAAGTTGTCTGTAGTACACTATACGATAGCTGCTCAATTATAGCATAGTCAAGATGATTGGTTAAAAGTGCAGAGCATAATAACAAGCTACTTACCATAATCCTTAGAGTCACAGCCTAAGCACGCTAACCACTGCACAATGCCCAGCCCACAGCACTTAGTAATAAGATGTTGGTGTAGTGTGTTGTGATAATTCTTTGATCTGTTTAATTAGTTGTAGTGATATTTTTACGGAATACGTAGTGTTAGATACACAGCTAGAATATAGAGGTTTTCAGGTAAAATCCTAGGGAAGTTATAGTTGTCACTGACTGTTCATAATAGCTGGAAATTCTGGCATACCCATAAGCTGAAATAATTTTTCAATCTTTGCCTTTTCTAACACTCAGGTTACTTTCGCTGGTGAACATTGGTGGGCGTTAAATGAACTTCAGTTGTCATGCAAAGTTTTGCCCATTGGTTTGGAAGGTCGTAAGGGAGTTGCGCTCTAACACAGCAAGATAGGGTGAAATGCGCATCGTTTTGCTAGATTTCCACTTGAGTTATTTTTGGTGTTTTTCTAATGTAATGATTTCCCACAAACTAGATGGCAGTAATAGTGTATAATACTTCGACAGATTGTGTGTGTAATGTGCATGCATTTTAAAATTAATAATACGAAATGTGGTCTGAATCGATAATTCTAGAAGGAATGATCATTTTTATTGATCTACATCGGTGGTTACTATTATTTTTACGATATAAGTTGAATTAGTGATGCAACTCTTTAGATGTGCCTGAAAGCCACATGTATGCGCTAACCTGTGGAAAGCATGACCAGTATTGGTATTGTTTGTTAAGATTATGTCACTGAATGGTGATATAACGTATTACAAGTATATTGGTTAGTATATGACATTGAAATACATATATGTATTTTAGTATATGCCTACAGGGGGTCATCAAACAGAACATGGCGAAATGGATCGTAACGTCTCGGTGAGGTTTCAAAATTGTTTTAATATAACGTACTTAACGTGTGTATTATTTTTACTTAGAAACTGTATAAGACCTATATAGAGGGAATTGTTAGAAATTACTGTCAATCTTATTGTGTCTTATGTCACACAAATTACTAATAAGTAGATCATGCTTCGCCAATATAAGCATTACATACCATATGAATTTAAGCCATGCCTAATTTCTCAAATAAAGCTAGTTATATTCAGCCAACATATAACCTATTGCATAGCACTATAAATAAATGCAGTTAACATAAACGTTGTTCAAAACAAATACCTTTTTCACAAATTATATCAATATAAAACGCATTTCTAAATCAAAACTGCACTTCGAACTAATTAGCATTCGTGATTTCCTTTTCTAAAGACAAAATCATATAATTTGCAAATTTTTCTGTTGCCTCTACTACAAAACATTGCTTCACCAACAGCACTGAAAACAATGGATCTACAATGTTTCTCACTTTGTGTTGTGTCTATGTTTCTCAAAACATTCCTTCACCAACAGCACTGAAAACAATGGATCTACAATGTTTCTCACTTGGTGTTGTGTGTTATGTTTCTCACTTTGTGTTGTGTCTATGTTTCTCAAAACATTCTGTAGTTTCTATTGTAAAAGACGCATTAGATTGTTTGAGCATGAAAAATGTCTCTCTATGGCCATATACTGTTTTTCAGTATTATTTCAACCACTCACTGTTATAAATAGCGTTTGGACCTAGGGTTTGTGTCTTACATGCCCAGCCGTCCTAATAAACTCTGATTTTGAGCTGTTATGTTCTTCTTATTGGGAAACCGAATAGAGCCAGTAAAAAGTGTTGTTTTTTATTTTTCAAAGATGACTATAAGTCTTATTGTGATGTTGTGGCATACAAACAACATAGTTATAGATTACACTTTACAAGTTATATACCACGTGAATTCTTATATCATAAATGACTGTTAAAAATAACGTTCAGACCACAGTTTGGTGTATTGCATGCCCAGCTGACTTGAAAAGTTCTGGTGTTGAGCAAAATGCCTCATTGTCAGCGGCGTGCAGCACACGGTTGAGATACAATGATATTCTTCTCATCATATAGCGCCAGTAGAGAGGTACTCGTTAAAACCTATTATCAGTCTTATTATGAATTTACCAGGCGTAGTTCAGTTACTTATTTAGATTACATTCAACTTACATTACAAGGCACGTTGATGTTCTTCAAAATAAAAATTACAGAACCTCCAGGGTTAGAAACTTTGTTAACTGCTTATGAAATAAATGGAGTAATTTAAGTTACTTTTGTAAAATGAAATTGTTGGAAATTGTGCCCTGCCTTAGAAACCAATAGTGGAAGAACTAACGGGTATGAGAGATAGCTGTTTTCTCTGATTGTAAACTCGTTGCTAGGAGCTGGTGCAGTTACGGGCCTGACCACCGTAACAGTATGCCTATTGTTTCATAGAGTCTGTGTAGATTGAACAATGCTTAGAACCTGGGAAGAATGTGTTTTTGCAGTAGAATGATGACTACATATATAGTCCTGCTACGAGATACAACACATACACGCTATCCCACTGGATGGTTTTTCTTAGAAAAGGTCGGATCACAACCTGATTGACCATGACATTTAATTTTATATTGCTTGCTCCAGGAATGGTCACTTACTAGAAATATATGTAACCATGGGTGTTTTCAGCTTCTTAAAACCTACCTATACCAAGAGATTTTCAACCAAAAGCACCCCTCTCCTTTTGACGGTGAGATCGAGGAGCAAATAGAACAGAATAATATTTTTTTTAATAGTGAGGGGGGTGTCTTTATTCGTATTTTTGCAATGGTTCAGTATTTCAAAATTATACACTAAATTCAATCACGAAACATTTTCTAGTGATACATAATATTACTGTTGTTCTAAAATATGAGAGCAATTGAACTTTAGGTTCCAGGTGATGAACACGATAAACTATATAATTTGAACTTCCTTAGAGTTTTAACACAAATTAAACTGACGAATGCCCTACACCATCTCATGTACTCAGAAAGAAAGTCACGATATGCACACATTATGGAGCTAATTTCCAATGGAAGTAATCACAGCATTCTTTTTTTTTTTTACATTTATCACATTCGATACTTTTTGTATTTGCAGCTGGTATGTAAAACGAAAACAAAAACGAGAATTGTATGAGGGGTTGCTGGCATATCTGTAGGCTTGTTCATTACTAACTAC